GAGCCGCTCCAGATGGCTTGACCGAAAGTTACTTCTTATTGTCTGGCAGACTGATTTCTGCCTGGAAAAAAAAAAAAAAAGGGACTCGCTGCCTTGTTTCGTGGGGTAGCAGCTGGAGGGGGTGGAGGGAGCTATTGTTTGTGCCACGTCTCGCGGCCTTTCTGGCAAGGAATTTTAATTAGAGAGGGGTCCGAATAAAGTATTTGCCTCTTGAGCACACGGATTGATCAGATCTGTGTCCTTGGGCCCTGTAAATCAGTCTCGAAGGGTAAATTAAACTCGGAGTGTGAGGGCAGCTGTTGAGAGACCCTCAGAGTGAGGTCTGACCTCGGGAAGAAGAAACGTTCCCGAAACCCTTGAGCGGTGCCAGAGCTGAGCAGCAGCTCTGCGCTTATGCTGCTTGCAAATGGGCTGGTGTCAAGGGTGTCAAGCAAAGCTACTTGCTCAGACCGTGTTTTAAAACTATATGTGAACCACGGATTTGTGCTCATGCAAGTGCTCCGCAAGAGAGGCAGCGCTCCCTCAGTTTGGGGGAATCAGCTGCCCTTTCTGCTGGTGTAACTTTGCCAGCTTAAGGAGTTTACGGTAGTCAGGTAACCTTCTGCTAAGGAGAAAACACAACCAGTGCCGTGTGGTTTAGGGAACATCAAGCCCAAATCCAAGTGAGCTGTGTTGTAACCAAGAAGAGCTGTTGCTGTACATTTTTTTCCCCTTCACGTCCCATGACATCAGTGCCCCGTCAGCCACGCTGAACATGTGGAACCAGATGGAGCGGCAACATGTTGCAGACAAAGGCAGCAGCGAGCGGTCAGGAAATGAAAATGTGCTTAAAGCAGTATCTCTGGCCACGTAAGTCCTGAGTCCCTGGGTTTCAGCAGTTCTCACAACTGTCTTCGATCATATCAGTGTGTCATTTGTTTTCAGGCGGCTAAAAATAGAGGCTCCTTGTGTATGTGACAGAGAGTAGCTCTTGTTCAGCATCACTGGAGGTTTTGTCCAGATGTTGGCAGGTCTTTACATGCATAGCGCTGCAAGTAAACACAAAGGGTCAGGATTGTCCATAGTGTGAGGCCAGTGACTCTGGGTGTGCTTACCTTGGGTTAATTTGGATCTGAAATGTTCCAGGACAGTGTCGCCTCTGAGGCTGTCGCTAGCTGGCTTTGCCAACTCTCCTAGACTTTGATTACCCAAATTTATTTGAACAGAGGTGACAAAGCCAAGAACAAACTGGCAGCTGGGCTTCGGCTGACTCCGTATCGTTGTCTCTGAAAACAAGGCAGCGCGGCCATAGCATCTGAAGCTGCTTCAGAGGTTGTTTCCTTGCTGATGAGCAATTCCAACAAGGTATTTCAGCAGCTCAGCTTGTCCTTATTGGCGCACACTGTTGTTCTGGGCAGCACAGCAAGAGCATCCATGTCCGTGTTGCTTGACGTTTCAGTGATGGGCGGCAGTCAAGAAACCAGATCAAATGCTAGGAGACGTTAAGAAAGCCCACGAGGACCAAACGGAAGATGTCATGACACTATATGAAGATGCTATGGCACTATGTGACACTATGAATCAATGGTTTGCCCTCCTGTTTGTTATGGATTACAGATCTGGTCCCTTTGTCTCCAAAAAGTGATAGTAGAATTGGAGTTTGTTCAGAGAAGGACAGTGAGGACATTCAGAAGTGCGGAAAAACTTGCATGCAGGGAGCAACTGAGCAAGCTGGGACTTGCCAGCTTGTAAAAGAGATGAGTTGGAGTTGAGAGAGAGTGAGCACAGTAGGTGAGTGGAGCGGAGAAGAGTGATAGAGACTGACTGTTTACTGTCTCTTCCAATGCAAAAATTATGACACCAAAGTTAGCTGTAGTTGGGTGAGAAGGAGAAGTTGTACTCCCTCTGTAGTTGTAGAGAGGGAGAAGGGGCCCTTTCCGGTGGTGGATGCTAAGTATTTGCAGTTGTTCTAAACACTGGTAGTTTACCATGTGAGAAATTGCTTGGGAGTTAGTAAATAGGCAAAAGTTCCCTGAGCTGAAAATATTTGGAAGCTGGTTGATTACTTGGGGAAGTATCCTACCTTTTTGCCTTTGTCTTATGGTATCCCTATATCCACTTACTGTTCCCGTCAGAGAGACTTTTGTTCTGATCTGGTATGGACGCTCTGATATTCTTACATCTCCAACCAGGTAGCTCAAGAATAATGCCCGAGTGCAGAGTAAACCACAGCCCATTGAAATTTTATTCTTCTGTAAATCCATGGAGGTTTGCTGACCCCTGTGGAGCTCTGCTGGTTTACACCACCACAGCACTGGGGCCTGCAGGTCTGCAAGGCTGCCTCTCTCCAAGAGCTGCAAAGCTGCTTCTGGTTCACACATTCTTTATTATTTCCTGACCCTCCTCTGCCTTTCTCCACTCCGGATGGAAGGGATTCTGCATGATGGAATGTGAACTGTTGGGCAACAAGGACAAGAAATGGTTTCCTTCCATGTGAGAGGGAATGGAGGGGAGGCAGGGAGGGCAGGAACTGCCCAGGATGTTGAAGGAGAGAAGTCAGAATAAAGAGTTTGAGAGGGCATAATGTCTGTGTGTGCACAACAGATTCATTCTTCTGTAGTTTCCCCCTGTTTGGGGGCAAATGTGCTTTACCTGTGCTCTTGAGTAAGTGTTGCATTGAGTAGGGTCCTTGGCTAGAACAAGATTCTCCCCTGTGATTCAGGGGGGAATGACAAGATACGTTTCCATTGCCAACCCTGTCTCCGTTGTGATCTTCCTCCCCAGTTGCAGAGCATGAGGAGCTGGAGCGACATGAGGCAAGAGGTGATGTTCCTGACCAACGTGAACGGCTCCAACTCCTCCACGCAGATTTACCAGGCGGTTTCACGCATTGTGTGCGGCCACCCCGAAGGTGGAGGGCTCAAAATCAAATCCCTCAACTGGTACGAGGACAACAATTACAAAGCACTGTTTGGAGGGAACAACACTGAAGAAGATGTTAACTTCTATGATAACTCCACAAGTAAGTGCAACCTTGCCATGGCATCAGGTCTCATCTACATCCTGGCTGTAATCTCTAGTGTTTCCCAAACTTTCCCTGATGAAAGCAAGTGGTCCTCAGAGGCAGCACACCCTGTGCTGTTTCAGGAGGGTGCACCAGTGCTGTCTCAACAGCTGCATGTGCCTTTAAGGCCAGGAGGGACATCAGCATGCAAGGAGCAGCCTTGCATGACTGCCATGGGCCATGCTGTGGTCCTCCTTCAAAGGTGAATGACCAAAGGCCTGCAGCCTTTGGAAGTGTGGCCTGGTCAGTGCAGCTTTTGCTTGTTCCATGCCCTGAGTTGTGCAGAGCAAGCAAGGTGGAGTCTGGGCAGCTGCTCCTGGCTCATGGAGCAGCCAGCTGACACAAGGCATGTTTTGGAAAGGGCTTGTGGTGGAGAGGGCTTTTCTTTTACAGTAAGCCCTGTGCTTTGAGCTGTGGCCGTTCTCGGAGCACACACGAGTCGGGCAGTTGCCTTCAGCAGTTGGCACGGTGCCGTTCAGCTGCTCACCCCTGCCGTTCCCTCCTCAGCACCCTACTGCAACGAGCTGATGAAGAACCTGGAATCCAGCCCGCTCTCCAGAATTATCTGGAGGGCTCTGAAACCGCTGCTGATTGGGAAGGTCTTGTACACTCCAGACACACCAGCTGTAAGGAAGGTCATGTCTGAGGTAACTCCAGCCCTCCCTGCTTTACGTAGACTGTAAGATATAGAATCATAGAATCATAGAATCCTTAAGGTTGGAAGGGACCTCTAGGGTCATCTAGTCCAACCCCCCTGCACACGCAGGGTCACCTAGAGCACGTGGCACAGGACTGCATCCAAGTGGGTTTTGAAGACCTCCAGAGAAGGAGACTCCACAATCTCTCTGGGCAGCCTGTTCCAGTGCTGTCACCCTCACTGTTAAGAAATTTTTCCTTAAGTTCCCAATGGCTTAACTGCTGCCATTTGGAGCAGCCACGGCTGCAGTGCAACTGCTCATCTTCCCCAGCACTATCCTTGTCTTAAACTTGCTTCTGCACCACACATTTAGTCCAAAATAAAGCTGCACAGCCTCTTTCTCCAAGTTAGCCCCTGCTCCCAGAGGGGAAACACAGAGGCTTGCAGAAAAAAAGAAAAAAGCATAAAAGGAGAGCACACAGCAACATACCCTTACCTAGTGAAGGAGTGAACTCTCCAACGAGGATCAACCAGCACAGGAGAAAGGAGTGCAAAACCTGATTTCTTGTCCTGCCACTTTTTTCCTTAAGCTGTATACTGCTCTTTTGTACATGCTCCAACTGTTGAGCTTAGCTGCTCCACATTGAATTGCACCTGAATACAAGCCTAGGAAGGGTTGCATGTAAAGCAGAGAGTTTTACTCCTCTCCCACCTCCCAACACGTGTAGCTGAAGGAGAAAAGGCCAGGCCGAACTCCTGCACTAAATCTCACTGGATACTTTCCTGGCACGTGGTTTTTGAGCTCCTGCACTCTTTGCACTTCTGATACAGGACTGGGAAGGACCTTTAGGTGTCCTTCCTCTCCTCTACACAGGTTGACCGGCTGATCCATAATCCAATCATTTTGGATTGTGGTTCACTTAATGTGCTCTCTGGTCCCCCCAACACCCTCAGGAGAGTCTTCCAGCAGTAGGGAAGAGCTGTGACTATGAGCCTTTCATTGCCAAGCCAGACTCATTTTCTTAAAAAGCCTCTGAGCAAACCCTGGGCAGCCACAGGCTTCCATTCCCTGCTATGTTTTCCCTTCTGTGTGGGTATTACTTGACCTGCTCCCTTCCTTCCAGAAGCTGAGGTGCTGTTTGAGTACAGGCAACACTCAGTACCGCACTTTACAGGTCAATGCACTCACTTGGCCTGTGGTGGATCTCTGCCAGCTTTTGGGAATAGCCTTCCCCTCTTCTCTGCCAACAGGTGAACAGGACGTTCCAGGAGCTGGGTGTGTTTCGTGACCTCGGCGGGATGTGGGAGGAGATAAGCCCAAAGATTTGGACATTCATGGAAAGCAGCCAGGAAATGGACCTGATTCGGGTCAGTATGCTCTCCTTGCCATCATCATCTCTTTCTGCAAAGAGTGAAAAAAAACATTTACTGTAGGCACTTCTTCAGTGCTGCGTTGGGTAGATGAAGGGTATGGATGTGACCCATCTCCCGAGCCCGGTTCTGACCCCACGTTCTTGCGTGTTGCTGGGCATTCCCTCAGCCCTGTCACGTCCTGCTGTGAGCTGGAGCAGAGCGTGTTACCTGCTGCTTTCCTCTGCCTGGGCGGGCAGACGGGCTGCTTGCTGCACGCGGCTGCCCTCCTGCAGCGTCAACATCTGCCTCGTAGCGTCCTTGTACAACAGGGAGCAGCAGCGTTGGTGTCACGTTCAGCTGCCTGTGCCGTGCCCTGCTCCCTCGAGCATCTGCTCTCTTGAAGGCAGCAAAGTCTGACATGAAATGCCGAAATCAGATCCTGGAAGATGCCCTCGGGACGACTGAGTGTGGCAGGAATTGACTGTGTGTCATGCTAGTGCTCAGCCTGCACGCCCGGTGGTAACTGGGCTGCAAAAAGCTCGATTGGAATTGTATGGTACGCTAACGTTAATAATTCTTAGGTGCTCTCATGGGCCAAAGCAAATGTCACCCTGTGGCCTGGGCCTTCCTAATGTGCTGTGGACACTAGACCGTGAAGAAGGGACAGGGAGCTTGTTCTATGGGACACGCTTCATGCCTGCCTGTGGCTTCCCTGGAGCACTGGGACGGATGTTAGACCAGGGCATCATCTGCGGATTGAAAAGACAAGTGGCTTGGCTTGCTGTCTCTTCCCCAGGTGTAACCCTCATGAGTGGGTCTCTGCGCTGATTTGGGTTCTTTCTTTTCTTTTTTTTTTTTTTTTTTGGAACCGCAACACTGTAAAATAGGATTAGCAAAACGAGGACTCAGGGAGGCAGTTCACGGCAGCTTTTATCACCATTTCTGCAAGGCAGCTGCGTGAATGCCATAACACAGCAGCTGTACAGGGGAGATCTGCCCCAGATCTGCTAAGCCCTGGGGTTTATTCCCTCTTTTCCCCCAGAGGAATGAGGTGCAGAATAGTTTGGGATTTGTCGTGCTGCACTTACCCCTGAGGACAGTGTGTTACAGAGGACAGAGACATCTTTGTCATCGCTGCTGTGCCTGTGGTTTGATGGAAGCTGTTTGTGTAGGGGCAGATGAGAATCATGCCCAGCAACTGTAAATTGAACCATTAGCAGCAGAAAGGTCTGGCAGAAAGTCAGGGTTGGGATATTGGTTTGCAGTCATGTGTCCTCTGAAAAGTGAATTTTGCTGCATTTTTAATGAGTCCCAGGATACCCTGTGGTTGCATTTTATGCCTGTTGTTAACCCTGCTGGCTCTGGTGGATGCTTCGGGACCTTCCCAGTAGTCCAGGCTCCTTTCCTGGGATGTCATGGTTGTCACCTGCCGCAGTCCACGCGAGCAGGAGCACCTCATAGCAAGTGCCTGGGCAGCTCCCAGGCCACATCCTGCTGCACACCCAGAGCACAAACACGCATACGGCTCCTTGCTTGGGGCTGCTGGCAGGGGCAGGCCAGCAGGAGGAGGTGAAAATGCTTTCCTCACGCATCTCTGGCATTTCCACTCCCATGCTAATGCACCTCCTAACGTGGAGGAGGAGGAGAGCTGCCCTTCTGGGCTGGATGTGACGAGGCCAAGTCCCTTCCCCGCCACGTGCTGCCTCTTCCACAAAGGCGAAGAGGGTGAAATGACCTCGGGGGACCACATGTGAATAGAGCACAGCGCAACTGCTGCCATTCCCTCCTGATTGCCCTTTCGCGTGCTCTCCTTCATCAGCTTGGCTTGTTTCTGCTCTGTTTTCCCAGTTTGTGATACTATTTGTGTAACCTTGTGACCCTGTGCTTTCTGGTTTGCTGGAAACAGCTGTGCGTGGAGAAGCTCCTCACCCCTGTCCAGTGTTTCATTTTTTTTTCTAGCAGAGATTCCATTTCCTGTTTTTATTGTTTTTTATTGGTTAGGATTTCTATCATTTCCTCCTGCTGACTTTTTTCTCTCCCCTCCTTGGCTTTAGCAGTATCCTTTACAATTAATGCTCCTTTCTTCCCTGTCGTCCTTATGTCATCTGCCTTGCAGGCCTGTGCTCTGCTGTGAAGCCAGGTGCTCCTGCATGGAGCACAGCTGTGTTGCACGTAGATGTAGTGGGAGAACAATCCTTCATTAGGAAGTTAGCAGCTAAAGCTCATGCAGGCATGCGGTGTCCCACATGAGAGACCAGGCAAGACATGGTGACTTGCATGGCTACGTCTGTAGAAACAGATATCAGAAAACGATCGTTGTCCGTGTTGTTGGCATTAGTGTTTAGTGCTGTGGGAATTCAATCTCCAGCTGTGCTGGAGCCCCCCTCCTTCCTACCTGAGAGCAGGGATGTGTTTGGAGGAGATCGGTGATGCTCAGCAGCCACTGAGCAGCTGAAGGCGTTTCTTCCTCGCTCTGTGCTTTGCAGAGAGAAGGTCTGTCCATGTGTCTGTGTGCCCAGGTCTGCCCCTGGGCTGGGGTTGCTCCCTGCCCGCAGAGCAGCTCCCGCACGGCGCTGGGGCTGGGAGTTGCTTGCTGTGTTTTCCCAGAGCTCAGGGCTGTGCATGGCTCTCTGCTGCCCTCTCCTTGGGAAAGAGGTGGTGGGATGCCAAGGCAGCAAACCAGCCTGCAGAGCAGCTAGAGGAGAGAGGAGATCATTGCTAAGGGACCCTAAAGCGAGGCACCAGGAGATGCCAGGACACAGGTTCCCTGTGGTCAGTATGGAAGAAGCCCCCTCACTTGGGAAAGTAGAGCCAAAGTGGATCAAAGAGACTGGTGATGCTGGAGACGGCGTTGTAGGGAGACATAGTAGAATCCTAGAATCATTGTGATTGCAAAAGACCTTCAAGACTCTAAGCCAGCATCCGTTCTGTGGCTACCCACATGCATATGATTCTTGGTGTTTAATGAGAGCACCTTCTTGGTCTTGCCCGAAATGGTGCATCCTGCAGTTACCTTGTGGGCAGGTGCTTGTGAGTCCTCAGGGGAGTTCGTTTTAATATTCCTGTACCTTTTTTTAAGAAGGCATTTTCCACTGGTAATGCTGTTTTTCGTGAGGAGGAGGGAGGTCCAACATGAATTCTCAACAGAACTGTCTCCCCTTTTGGAAAAACACCCGCAGACGCTACTGAAGAGCAAAGATCTCTGGGACCTGCAGTTGCCTACTTCAAACTGGACCGTGGATGACATTGCCCGCTTCTTGTCCAAGAACCCGGGGGAGCTGGAGACGGCCAATGGCTCCGTGTACACCTGGATGGACGCCTTCAACGAGACCGACCGGGCTATTCAGACCATCTCGCGCTTCATGGAGGTGAGGCCATGTGAGCATGGGCAAGCACTTCATAGAATCATAGAATCATAGAATGCTTAGGGTTGGAAGGGACCTCTAGAGATCATCTAGTCCAACCCCCCTGCACACACAGGGTCACCTAGAGCACGTGGCACAGGACTGCGTCCAAGCGGGTTTTGAAGATCTCCACAGAAGGAGACTCCACAACCTCTCTGGGCAGCCTGTTCCAGTGCTCTGTCACCCTCACTGTTAAAAAATTTTTCCTTAAGTTCCTGTGGAAATTGGCTCCACACATGAAGTGAGGAGGCTCCAAGGGAGGGAAGTTGTGTGTTCCTCTGTTCATGAAATAGCCAGGCTTTAGTTGGGATGAGCGGAGAGTATTTTGGAAAATACCGTTCATTTAGGTGCCTAAATATAGATGTGGGGAACCTAACTTTAGGGCTTGTTCTTGAAGCTCTCACTTTAGCTAGGGCATGTGGTTTCCCACCCAGTTGCAACTACCCACCTAGGCAGTTCACATTTCTGTATGGTGTTTTAGTTGGGGACTGCCAGTGAAGCTAGCAGCAACTTTAACCTGAGGAGGACACAGGTAATATTTATGCTGTTAATCATCTCAGCGGATGAGTGCACAAGGGCAGGCCTCAGCCTGCCAGAAGCCTGGTCCGTAGTCTTTGGGAGTCTCTGCACAGGTTTTTAGAGGCTTCAAAACAAGCCTTGTATAGTGGTAACACACACAAAAAAAGCCTCCATTTATGGAAACTGATGCTTGTGTGGGATCTTCTAGGCACTACCACAATGCTACCTACTATTTTATCCAGAAAATACTCTTGCTAAAGTCTTAGTTAGTGTTACCTATTTGACTAGCAGATGACCATCAAGCATGAAAGACTGATGACTCTAGCAATGTATCTGGCTACCATGAGCCTTTGCAGAAGAATCCAGCATTGCAGTATTTTCTTGGGCATGACATTAGCATTGCAGAGTTCTCCTTTTTCTCTCCCTCTCAAACTTAAACAAAATACACTCTGTTTTGGTAACCTGATTCCATAAGCACGGAGTCTGTCTGTAGTGTAACCAGAACACCCTGGACTTGCAATCTCTCCATGTTTAGTGTGTCAACCTGGACAAACTGGAGCCTGTGGCAACAGAAGTCCGGCTTATAAACAAGTCCTTGGAGCTGCTGGATGAAAGGAGGTTCTGGGCTGGCGTCGTCTTCCCTGAAATGGCTCCTAACAGCTTAGAGCTCCCTCATCACGTCAAATACAAGATACGGATGGACATTGACAATGTGGAAAGGACCAACAAGATAAAGGATGGGTGAGTCCTGACAGGGTGCAGTAGGAGTTATCCTTCATGAGGGTTGATCTGGTTGAGGATTTCTCATTGAAGGGTCTTGTTTTCCTCTCAGGTACTGGGATCCTGGTCCCCGGGCTGACCCCTTTGAGGACATGCGCTACGTTTGGGGAGGCTTTGCCTACCTGCAGGACGTGGTGGAACAGGCCATCATCAGAGTGCAGACAGGCACGGAGAAGACCACCGGGGTTTATGTGCAGCAGATGCCCTATCCGTGCTACGTGGATGACATGTACGTATGTGGACTTTGTGGAAAGCTCCCAAAAGTAGGTTGGCTTTGGAGGCAAGGGATTCTTTTGCTTCTCAGAGGTTGACTTAGTGTGTCCCTATAATCAGTGTGGGAGCAGATCTCCCTAATCCCTCAAATTAGTGCTTCTGCAGTGAGGAGTTATGGATATGTGCTGAGTAGTTGAGCTATTCCCCTGAAAGCTGTATGCAGGAGTGAGGTACAGTGTGGAGGGATAACAATTGCAGTGTGTTTCTAAGATGTTCCCATATCCCCAGACCTGATGCAGGCAAGGGTAACACACTGGGGAAAAGCAGAGAAAGATGAAAGAGGGCTGTTGAGAGCAGTTCCCAGGCAAGGCAGCTCTTTGCCCCTGCTGTTTCACTGAGCTGGAATTGCAGCTCCAGCTCCTGCTCAGGCCTGCTGGTGTGTCCTAGGCTCACCAGTGTCACCTCATGGTGAGACACTAATCCTGTGCCATATTCTGCTGCTTTATGCTTAGCTTAGCTTAGCTTTTTCCAAGCCTTGCTAGACCTTACTTGTCATTTCTCACTGACTGCCCTCTTGGTCCCTTTTCCACTATCAGATTTTTGCGTGTCATGAGCCGCTCCATGCCCCTCTTCATGACTTTGGCTTGGATCTACTCAGTGGCTGTGATTATCAAGGGTATTGTGTATGAGAAGGAAGCCCGACTGAAGGAGACGATGAGGATTATGGGCTTGGACAACGGCATCCTGTGGCTGAGCTGGTTCATCAGCAGCCTCATCCCACTCCTGATGAGTGCTGGCCTGCTGGTTCTGATCCTCAAGGTGAGGGCACTGGTGGTCTCTCTCCTGCTCTCCAGTCCTTCACAGCAGCATCTGGAGTCTGCAGCCCACTAACCACAGCTCTGAGTGGGTTGGCCAGCAACCCTGGGGGAACAGATTTCTGGGACCAGAGATGAGTTGCTGAAAATGATAGGAAGGGTTATGACAGATTCTCTCTGTGTTCTTCAAAATATGCCTTTGTTCTGAGACCACTGCTGTGCCATGCAAACCCCAGCAACCCCAGCCTCCCCTGAGCTGCAGATCTGCCTGAGGCCTATATTGGAGAGTTCTTTCAAAGCCTGACATGCATCTTGTTCTCCTGCCAGATGGGGAATCTGCTGCCCTACAGCGACCCTAGCGTGGTGTTCGTTTTCCTCTCCATCTTTGCCGTTGTGACCATACTGCAGTGCTTCCTCATCAGCACCGTGTTCTCCAGGGCCAACCTGGCAGCTGCCTGTGGAGGCATTGTCTACTTCACGCTGTACCTGCCCTACGTGCTCTGTGTTGCCTGGCAGGACTACATCAGCTTCTCGCTCAAGATCTTTGCGGTGAGTCCTGAGGCTGTCCTGACCACTGGTACTCTGCCACCATGGCGCCCAGTGACATTTGAGGGGGCAATAGGAAGGTGATTTTCTTGTATAAGAACCTTAGTGAAGAAGCTGATGGAACCTGTTGAGTTGATGTTACCTGGGAGGGTTTTGTTGGCTTCAGTAGAAGGTCGGTCACGTTAGACTCCCTAAATCTCTGTGTACCTGGATGAAGGTGAACTACTAGATATGCAGAGCATTGTGGAAGAAGAAGGTTTTGGTATGGGCAGCAGAGATCAGCAGAGATTGCAGTCAGTGATGGGATTTTAGAGGCAGAGTGCTGCAGTTGTATCTTGTCCTTCTGAAGTTTATTTATAGCAATTATGTTTTCTTGGTTTCTGATGCAGCATGATTTGCTATCCTTTCCTCAAAGACTTCTGGCTTCTTTCTCTCCATACCTGTCTTACCTGTCTGGAGAGAGTGGCTGCTGCTGATGTATTCCTTCCCATAAAAACCCAAGGAGCAAGAGAAGGAATAGGGAAATGTACTAATGCTCTGAATTATGAGTGTTAGCTCAGCAGGTATTTCCCTACTTGCAAAGCGTGGAACGCAAACTTAATCAGTCACTCTGTCTCTGCAAACCTGGTCACACTCCTGAAACCTTGACTTTGCCTTGAGGCTCTGGGCCATGTCCCATAGTCCAAAGTAACTGATAGGTGAGAACCTATGGAAAGCATAATGCATGTTCATATTTCCCATTTGCAGAGCCTGCTGTCTCCAGTAGCCTTTGGCTTCGGTTGTGAGTACTTTGCACTGTTTGAGGAGCAGGGAGTTGGTGTACAGTGGGACAACTTCTTTGAGAGCCCATTGGAAGAAGATGGCTTTAGCATCACCACATCTGCTGCCATGATGTTGTTTGACACCTTCCTGTATGGGGTCATGACTTGGTACATTGAGTCTGTCTTCCCAGGTGAGGTTTGCTTCTGGGGGAGCACCATCCTATGCTATTTTTATATGGATCCTCGATTTCTACTCATTTGTCAGCAATGCTGTAACTGAACTCATGTAATGCTCTTCTCCATTTAGGCCAGTATGGGATCCCCAGACCCTGGTACTTTCCTTTCACAAAGTCCTATTGGTTTGGTGAGGAACCACAGGAGAGGCAACACCCTCATCCTGACCAGAAGGGGCCTTCAGAAGGTAAGTGCTGGGCACAAAGAGCCTTTTTTTTAGCGAGTGGTGGGGTCTTGGGGTCTCTTTGTTTGAAAGCAAAGTCCAAGGCCCAGCAGAATCAGCGTGATTAAGGTGAAATTGTTCATTCCTTTGTCTGTTTTCACGTTTTGGCGCACTGGCTAAGTGTGTGGAAGCAGAGTTCCCCATCCCAGAGGAATAAATTTGAAGAGTTCTTCATCATTCATTGCTCATTTCTCATTACTCCATTGATCTGAGCAGACTGGGAGAAGTATAGGTTACAACTGTGGCACAGTTAAATGGCACTGGAAAAAACCATCTCTCACCCTGGCTTGCTATGCTTTGCTTGCAGTGTGCAAGGAGGAAGAGCCCATGCATCTGAGCCTTGGAGTTTCCATCCAGAACCTGGTCAAGGTTTATCGTGATGGCAAGAAGGTTGCTGTAGATGGTCTCACACTGAACTTCTACGAAGGGCAAATCACCTCCTTTCTGGGACATAATGGAGCAGGGAAAACTACTACCATGTAAGAGCAATGCTATGCTTTATGGTGGTGGGAGAAGTGGCTGTCAATCCCACTCTTTTCATCAATAAGGTGCAGGTAGCTATAGAGATGAGTGTGCAGAGCTGGTGTAAACTAGAGCACTCCGCTGATTTCAGTGGAGCTCTGCTGAGTTTATCCTCCTGCAAGGCTGTCGTGGAAGCTGCACAGACGCAGGGGGCTGAATGCTGTGAACTGGAGGTACCTCAGATTCAGACTGAAGTTGTGCCTGAATGCATCTGCTGGCAGCGTTTTTCATCAGTCCCATTTGTGATTCTGCTTTATCAGTGTAAAGAAATGAATGAGGCCTGCAAGCATGGGAAGCTGTTAAGGAGAGGGAAAGATACTTCCTTTGAGCAGAGCCATGCGGATGTGCTTTGATCACAGCATTAAAGCCATTAAAGCTGGATTTTGACCATTAGTGAGGTGTTTCTGAGGTTAGTTTCCTGACATGGGTGTTTTTCAGGGCTTCCAGCCTCTCGTCATTCGTTCATGCTGAGGTATACACAACAACCTTGTGGTGGAACTGCTTATCTATCTGCTGTGTTTGTCATTCAGGTCCATCTTGACTGGCTTGTTTCCTCCAACCTCGGGCACAGCCTTCATCCTGGGCAAAGATATCCGCTCTGAGCTCAGCGCCATCAGGCAGAACCTGGGTGTCTGTCCACAACACAACGTGCTGTTTGACTTGTGAGTAGCATCCTTGAGACGCAAGGCCAGTCATACCCAGCAGACCTTTGAATTCTCTGGAAGATGCTAATGTACTTTCAGTTAGAACCGTGATATTTTTAGCTGTGTATGTGATGGGAGGCAGTAGGTTGGTGTCAGATGGTACAGGGGCTTTCTGTTTACAAGTGGGGTCAGATGTGCCTGTGAATTAGCAACAAGATCCTACACTTTCATCATTCTTCTCTCTTTGAAGAAATATGCTTTATGCAGCTTAGCAAGGGCAAAAGTTTTCACCTGCCCCTCACCTGACTGGTATTTTCTGTCGAGAACCTTTAAAGGAATACCATTTATATTGAGCTACCACATAGAAATTGGGCCCCAGCTGAGCACTCCTGATCCTGTAGTTACTGCTTGAAACTTCAGGCTTGAAGGGTGTCTTTCCTAGCAGGTAAAGATACCTATTTTAATACAAGGGATGAATCCCAGCATGGTCATCTCAGCCGTGCTCTGAGTCTGCCCTTGTCCCCTAGGCTGACTGTGGAGGAGCACATCTGGTTCTATGCTCGTCTCAAAGGGCTGCCGGAAAACAAGGTGAAGGAGGAAATGGAGCAGATGGCAACGGACGTTGGTTTGCCTCACAAACTCAAAGCTAGAACAAGCAAACTCTCCGGTAGGTGCAGCTGCTTTTACATTTTTCAACTGCTCCCCAGGCTCCAGAGAAGCCCTTTCAAGTCCTGACAGGGGTTGGCTTTGGTGCTGAAAACCCTGACATAGCTCATCCCTGCTGCTTCTGTTGGAGGGGGATGTCTTTGGGACCTGCAGCTCTGCCTGTACGTACCCCTGCTCCAGATCCAAAAAAATGGTCAGGTCCCTGAGCCAGGGACTTGTTACTGCTGTTTTTAAGATGCAGTGTGGTGCATTTATGGAACAGTTTGCATTATGGGGTTTACTGCAGTGTAAGAAGTGCTTCCACTGTGTAGACCTGAGCACCTCTGTGTTGTTGTGTCTCTCAGGTGGCATGCAGAGGAAACTCTCAGTTGCCTTAGCCTTTGTTGGTGGCTCCAAGGTCGTCATTCTGGATGAACCCACAGCTGGGGTGGACCCTTACTCTCGCAGGGGAATATGGGAATTGCTGCTGAAATATCGGCAAGGTAGGTGATCCTATTCCTGGTGAATTAGAATGGTACAGAAAGCAAAAGGAAATCAGTCTGTGGTTTATGACTGTTTGGAGAGCTAGTGTCTTCTCAAGATAGCAGTGTGTCTTTGCAAGCCTGGTTTTGCTTGTGTTGAAGGTAGGAAAGAAAGATCATGATGGATATGTGTGCTCTGATCCTTGCTTTCTCTCCCTCCTTTTTCATCCCATCCATGTTAGAGTGCTTATGAACTAGCCAGACAGTGAGAGTAGCTCAGAAATCCCCTGTCAGTGTGCTGGAGAATGTCCCTTGCTCTGTACTTGCTGATGTGGGACCAAGTTGCTTCAGCTGAGCATGGGAAGGGCCTGTGGAGAATCCAGCTGTGACATCCTCGTGGGCCTTTTCCATACTGCTCACCTCGTTCAAAGGAACCTGCACTTGTGGGATAAATTTCCCATGCAACTTTATGGCAAGAGTGGCCTTTTCTGGATTAGAGACAGGGTGCAGTCGACTCCCTGAACAATGTTTTCCTTTGCCTGCTTCCAGGTCGGACCATCATTCTCTCCACACACCACATGGATGAAGCAGACATCTTGGGTGACCGCATTGCCATCATTTCTCACGGCAAGCTGTGCTGTGTTGGCTCTTCTCTGTTCCTGAAGAACCAACTGGGAACAGGCTATTATTTGACCCTGGTGAAGAAGGACGTGGATTCCTCTCTGAGCTCCTGCCGAAACAGCAGCAGCACGGTGTCTTATCTAAAAAAGGTACTGCTATCCATTTCCACTCAAGTTTGTCCTTCTCGTTTGAAGTATTAGGACTATGGGAAGCAGAAAAGTGTAATGTGTTGAAGAGAAATTATTCATTTTTTAAAACAAGTTTGCTTTTATATGTACTACCTCAAATCACATATGAATGGTTGCATGGGAAGAACACTTCTATTACAGTTTCTCTTAATGCCGCTGCTTCCAAGGTTGATTGGAAAGATCTAGAATAGGGTAAATACACCTTTTTGTAAAATGTATTTCTGTTACCATGACCTCATCATTGTATTTAAACTCTTTGAAGCAGTATGTCACCTTTATATTCTAAGTTCTTTATGGTGTATCCAGCCTTCTGCACCACCTGACTGGAGTTGCAAAGACAGTGTAGTATCTAGGTGGGTCCCCTTTTTAACTAAACAGCAAAAACAGTGATTGACTTTTTTTTCTTGACCAGGATGATAGTGTCTCGCAGAGCAGCTCTGATGCTGGCCTTGGCAGTGACCATGAAAGTGACACTTTGACCATAGGTGAGTCCTGGAAAAAGAATATGTGAGATTCAGTCTCAGTGCTAACATTCCTCTTTCTTTAACCTTAGACATTTGCTATAACCTTGCTGGGCCCCTGTTTAGCTGCAATCTTGGAAAGATTGTGAAGTTCATTGAGCTAGTGTTTTTAAATCCACAGATACTGATGTATTTTCTTAGGAGCCATTTTGAGTTCATGTTGACCTGAAATTTAATAGCCATCAAAGATGATGTGCTTGTTAAGCCTGATGGCAATGTGTAAAGTTTGCTGGTGAACTTTAAATGCATCATTTGCAGGGCTACCATTGCCCAACTTCTGCAATTCTCCCAAATTCTGCAAACCAAAAGAACAGCTAAGCTCAGGTCCAAGTTTGGAAGAGAAAACAGATACTTCCATGGAGATGTGCTGGTTTACAGAGTTGTTCCATTTTCTCTTCTTTCCCTCTGTGTGGGTTCTTCAGATTCTGAGCTCTTTTCTCCACATAATGCACAAGGAAGGTGAGTCTTTTCCTTTGGTTCTTCTAGATGTCTCTGCAATCTCAAATCTGATTACAAAACACGTTCCTGAGGCTAGGCTGGTGGAGGACATTGGACACGAGTTAACTTATGTCTTGCCATACAAAGCTGCTAAAGAGGGAGCTTTTGTGGAGCTGTTCCATGAAATTGATGATCGTCTCTCAGATCTTGGCATTTCCAGCTATGGCATTTCTGAAACCACCCTGGAGGAGGTGAGTGAGCTTAAACTTCTATTTGACATGGACTAGTTAAAATAAATTATTGCAGAAGTGGCAGCAAGACAGTCTTGTTTCTTATTCTTTTGCTTTATCATGGGACAGGCATCTCTGTGTTCCTTCATACTCCAACATGATAGGCACCTCAGTGCTTTTTGACTAGAAGGAAGGTGAAGATGCAGGAAGTTAATAGCAGTGTTTTTTTCCAAGGCATAGGAAATAGCTTTTGTTTCAGGTTTACTGAGAACTGACATAGCAAGGGGAGAATGGCTGATAAATGGTTATGCTCCTTAAGGTTGGAGACATGCCATCAAGTCCATCATGCAGGGGACAATCTGCTTTGCATCGTTGTCGTGCTGCATCTGTCAGCCTTGGGCTCTGTCATGGCATTGCCTGGCACAGTCCCCTCAATACTGCTCCGCTTCCCATTTTCACTGGCACTTATGATTGCCTTTCAGATCTTCCTCAAAGTGGCTGATGATAGTGGTGTGGACGCAGAGACCTCAGGTGAGCATGGTTGGCTCCTACAGCATTGAAAGGGATTCCAGGGACCAGTTGCCTCCCACATGGGACTTGTGTAGGCACATAGCTGACAAGAACTAGGCATTTCTTTAGTAAAATCTTACTGCAGAGCACAGCTTCTTGGAGAAGAAATGGTTATATCAAATGAGTAGTTTTTTCTGGTGGGTGATCTCATCTCTGTGTGTGCTAGTGTGACTAGCAGTGCAGTGACACATACCTAGAATGCTGTAGGTCATTTTTATGTTCAAGGACTCTAAATATTTGCTCTTAGCACACTCAAAATATGCTGGCGTTGCTGTTATCTTCTGTTGACTCAGTGGTAACATGTTAATTGTATATGAGTGGAGAGCTTTGAGTTTCTGATTGATCATGACACTACTGTGTGCTCTGAATAAAAGAAGAACCCTGACAGGGTCAGACCAGAGGAGGAATGCACTGACTTTTGCTCTTTGCTCTGAGAGTGGCTCACTGCTCTGGGTGCTCGTGCCAGCATTTCCTGATAAAGTAATGCTTGCAACTTGCACTTGGTTTCACATGCATCTTAAGAGAGCATTTTCTTACTGTAAGAACAGCTAGCCTGCTCTGTCTAAATAGAAAAAAAAATCTGTTCAGGGTACTGGAAGAAGCTTCAAGGACAATAGCAAAAAATATATAAAATATATAAGTTTATAAGACATGTGATCCATTGCATAATGGCAGTGATGGTTTTAATTTTTCTTGTGCTGGAATCACTCCAGCCCAGCTCTTCTGTTTGCAAATGGGAGTCATGCAAAATGAAAATTATATTGCTTTGCTTTCTCTGGGGCTAATTGTAACCTGAAGAAGTTCATTATCCTGATTAACTGAAGCAGCTGAGCTCACTATAACTGCATTACCATCTTCAGATGGGACCTTGCCAGCCAGAAGGAACAGGCGTGTGTTTGGAGACAGACAGAGCTGCCTTCGTCCATTTACAGAGGATGATGCCTTTGACCCCAACGATTCAGACATAGATCCAGGTACAGCTGTGATTCAAACCTGCTTTCTTCTTGTGGACACTCCGTTACACGTTGCAAATACTGCTGATCATGAGGCCAAGACCACAAAAGGAGCGGTGGCATTTTTGAGTTTAGAAATAGTGGGCAATGCAATATCCACAGCTTTTTCCTCCTCACTTGGAGGTTTGGAGAGAGAAGGGTGAAACACGTACACGTGAGGGAGTCTCTGTTGCCCTCTACCCTCGCTGTCATCTTGGACAAGTGAGCGTTGCTGGTTCAACCACTGCCCCATGCCTTCAGCAAACAGGTGGCCAGGAAACATCCTTGTGAGCGTGTGAGTGAGGGTCTTTTGTTGCTCTTTGCCAGCAGAATCCAGAGAGACCGACCTTCTGAGCGGGATGGATGGCAAGGGCTCCTACCAGATGAAGGGCTGGAAGCTCACGCAGCAGCAGTTCGTGGCTCTGCTGTGGAAGAGGCTGCTCATCGCCAAGCGGAGCCGGAAGGGTTTCTTTGCTCAGGTGAGGGCATCCAAGGGGTGCCGGACCCCAGGGTTGGGTTGGCGTTGGGGCCTGCTTTGAGTTTGGAGTTGAAGGTGGGTAGGAAACATCACTGAAGACAATTCGAGGCCCTAAAGCTGTTCTCCATTGCCCATACCACAAAAGTTGTCCTGTGCAAGTTGTTTTATCTTTGTTGTTGCTGTTATTGTGAACCAGTGAGGGAGAAAGGAGTTAGATGATAACTAGGTTGTTAGAGCAGTCATGGGAATAATGCATGTAAAGTTCAAGCTCTGCCTTTTGAGAGCAGCAATTGGAGGCTGAATTCTCTGCATCCCAAATGAGCGCCCTGACTGCATGCCAGGATAAATCTGCCTCACTGTCTAGAGATGCCTTGGTAAATAATAGAAGACTTTCTTGGGAAAATGTGATTGAAAAAGCTTTGACCCATTAAGTGACTCACCTGAAGCTGGTGATGCTTCTGGGAATGCTCATTTTAAAGAGTGTTTGCTCTTTCCTTGCAATTTCAGATTGTGCTGCCAGCTGTGTTTGTGTGTATTGCTCTCATGTTCAGCCTGATTGTTCCTCCCTTCGGGAAGTATCCCAGCTTGGAGCTGCAGCCCTGGATGTATGATGAGCAGTACACTTTTATCAGGTACATTTCTTGTAAGCAGGATATGGTGCTAAACCCTAAAATTCTGTTCCTTTCTGCTGACCTTTAGTAAAATCTTTACTAGATTATTTAAATTTACTTTGTGCCTAGCTCCAAGGGACAATTGAACAGAATCCTTTTGCCCTTTTAATCTTTTAAATGCCAACTCTAACCACTAGCCATACCCATTTCTGGGTGGTGCTATGATTCCAGTAATACTTTGTGCAAAGATAAATGCTGGCCAGGAGTATCTCCTTGAGCCCAGACCAAGTGCTCTGCAGAGGAAAATGTCCGCCCATTTCCCTTTCCTGAACCTTTTTCCTGTGTTCTGAGCCTTGCTCTGCTGATGTTGTTGCCCTGTGCCCGTTACCCAGTGACCTGATAGTATTTCTCTGCTGTCCCCATAGCAATGACGCTCCAGACGATGCAGGCACTCAGAAGCTTTTGGATGCCCTTCTCAATAAGCCTGGCTTTGGGACACGCTGTATGCAGGGACACACCATCCCGTAAGTAGAACTGCAGCCTGGCAAGGATCAGCCCTGGCTTCTGATGACCCTCTAGACCTAGCCAGCCTCTGAGGATGCTACTCATGCATAGCCGGGCTAGGCTTTAAGCCGAAAGGGTGGGAAATTGTTCCTTTTTTCTGCCTAGAATCTCCTAGAAAGTTGCCAGCAGCCCGTAAGGTGAGAGAGCAGGGTCTGAGTGCAAACCTTGCTTGAGGGAGGTGAAAAGGAGACAGAAATCTCTTCCTCGAGCTACTGGTGTGCTCCAGAGCGTGGAGACAGAAGCTAGTCATGGTACTCTGTTTTTCTCTGTTAGCCGTTTGTGCTGCACAATCCTGTGTTTCCATCTGCACTGGAAACCTTGGTTAGCACCCGTGCAAATCCCTGCTTTTTCCCAGGAATTTTCTCCCAGCCAATTTCATATAGCTGCCTTGCTATATGCCAGAGGACATAGTTTCTGCTATTAAATGATTTACAAGCAAAGGCTGTCACAGCTGTTTTAAAAGCTTTCATTTTCCAACGCAGAGACACTCCTTGCACGGTTGGGCAGAAGGAATGGACCACGGCTTCGGTGCCAGACTCCGTGCGGGACATCTTCCTGAAGGGCAACTGGAGCATGCAGAACCCTTCCCCGTCGTGCGAGTGCAGCAACGAGAAGATCAAGAAGATGCTGCCCGTGTGTCCCCCCGGGGCGGGCGGGCTGCCTCCCCCACAGGTAGGAGAGGGCTCCGAGGGTCCCGCCGGGAGGGACGTCACCGCGGGGCCGAGAGGCTGGTGGTGACGCGTGTGCCGATCTGCGTTTCCTCACTGACGTTTTTCTCTGGTGACACCAGCGAGAGCAAGACACTGCTGACATCCTCCAGAACCTGACAGGACGCAATATATCGGACTATCTAGTGAAGACCTACGCGCAGATCATTGGGAAAAGGTACCTGCTGGGCGTACGAGCGTGGCAGCTCTCAAGCGACGTCTTGGGGCTTGTAGGCAGAGTGAGGGGGAAGCCTGGAAGCAAAGCCTGGGAATTGCATTGGGGATGGGTGGTGGGGTGTATGCCCTCTGTGAGGTGCTATCGCTTTTTTTCCCAGTAGGGTCCCTGTAGTGCTTGTGGGTCTGCCCATCCTCTTGCTCTGTGTTTAATATTTCTGCTTTCTTTTCTTTCTCCACAGCTTAAAGAATAAGATCTGGGTGAATGAGTTCAGGTGAGTTAATATATTTTCTTCAGCCTGTATGTATCCTCACTGTAGAGTTATCACAGAGTCATTAAGGTTGGAAGGGACCTTTAGAGTCCAATCCCACTGTACACGCAGGGTCACCTAGAGCATCCTGAGTGTTGCGTTCAGAAGGAGGCTTAGATCAAACACCACTGCCCCCGCCTCAACACCAGCCTAGTTGGTTGTAAAGTTGAGGAGACTTGAAGCTGCACAGAAATTTCAAGATCATGATGAATTTAGTACAAAGTCTGGAGAAAATATGCACTGGAATGACTCCTAGTTGTTGAATGTTTGGAGAGCAGTTCTGAGAATGAACTGGGACAAAGCCTGCCTGCCTTGCAGAGGGGACCTGTGGGACCAGCTTGCAGATACTCTGTCATATCAGGTGCTTTACACCAAGCAGGGAGATTTCCTAGGAACACAGGACAGCTACATTAAATCCAGAGCATTCTGCACTGTAGCAGGCATCACACTGTGCAATCTCTTGCCTAAGCTGGGTGTTTAACTGCAGAAATAAAGAATAGGAGACAACAGGACTTAAAAGGCAGCATGGGAAACCAAACTTAACCCTTTTTGGCTTGGACATAGTGCAGAAAGATGAGAGATCTGAGGAGAGAAGTGTGTTCATGTCTGTGTTTCATCTTCTGTCTCTACCATCAGGTATGGTGGCTTTTCCCTGGGAGCCAGCAGTTCCCTCATGCTTCCTCCAAGCCATGAAGTCACTGATGCAATTGAACATGTGAGGAACATCTTGGAACTAGCACAGGTGAGCAACTGCTCCTCAAAAGTCCAGATTGCACTAAGGTCCCATTACTTGGAAACTGCAGAACAAGAAGAGTGTGTGTTTGCATTTCTGAGGCTTCTCTTCAGCCTCTGTGAGCTCTTTGGGATCAGCAGAAGGCTGGGAGTCCTGCTCAGCCGAGCCCTGCACAGCCCACATTGATGATGTGCGTCTTGCCCAACATCATTTGCAAGCTGGTGCAGATGGCAGTCCCTGGACAGGATTGCATGCTATCTCAGGGACATAACAACCTATTGCCAGCCCCACTGAAACCTCAGTTGCGTCCTTCTGTCCTGAAATTATCTGGGCTCAGAAGAAAATTTAGGACTCTACTTTCTCTGTATCTGCCTTGAAGCTCTAATGTTTCTGGAGGTTGCCCTCCTTAACAGTTGATGCTAGGGAATATAAAACAAACCTGTGTTACCATTGGGATTGTGGGGCAGACAGAGGCAGAGAGAGTCGGTGGCTTCTTAGCCATGTTGCTCCCTTCAGCTTGGTGAATCCAGGCTTTGTAATGGAAAGAAACCTGGGTCAGACCCATGTAAAACATGGTGCAACTCCAGGACCTGCAGCAAAGGTGCTCTCAGGGAGTGACTGTCTCTTTTGGTGCTGTTTGCAGGGAAGTTCTGGAGATCGTTTTCTCAACAGCTTGGGAAGTTTCATGAAAGGCCTGGATACAAAGAACAACGTAAAGGTAAATCACTACCCTACTGGGCAGCCTGTTCCAGGGCTCTGTCAACCTCACAGGAAAGAAGTTCTTCCTCACATGGAGGTGGAACTGCCTGTGTTTCAACTTGTACCCATTACCCCAATTGTCTGAGCCCCCTCCCACTGCTGTGCCTGTTAGCAGAAACTCTGCTAGCTTGGAGTTAGTTTTAGTTAGTGGTGTCCCAGCAGTTTGCTTTGGGCCCAAGGTGTTTGCATTTGGAAGAGCGAACACAACTTGTCTGGAATTCCCCCAAATTCATTTCTCCTTTGGAGCCCAGCCGTAAGTCCAGCAGCCAGGACTGGGTCAGGCTGTATGTCCTGATCCTGAGCAAGCTGCATCTAGAAGGAAATGCAAGAAAACAGTGCATCAGCAATGGAGGAGGGATGTTCTGCAGGGCTTGGGAGCCTGTTGGGTAGGTGCTGTGCGTGGTGCCTTTCTGATGCCCATGTGCTGTTCTGCAGGTGTGGTTCAACAACAAGGGCTGGCATGCCATCGCCTCCTTCCTGAACGTGATGAACAACGCGATCCTTCGGGCCAACCTGCAGCAGGGCAAGAACCCCAGTGCTTACGGGATCACTGCCTTCAACCACCCCCTCAACCTCACCAAGCAGCAGCTCTCCGAAGTGGCCCTGTAAGTCCCGGTGCAAGCATGAGTGGCCTGGGGCTCACCAGGTGACATGGGGAGTGTCACGGTCCTGTTACAACCCACTCGTGGGTGGACAGTCAGCAGCATGTTTTATTTAGGCTCTGCCATCCCTGCCTTACTAGCTGTGGTTTGGGCATGTTGCTGCTGTTGAGCTTTTGTTGTTGAACTGCTGTAGCACTGCTGCCACACTCTGAAATGTAGGCATTCCCGTCACTGGGAACTCTAGTTTATCCCTGATCTCTCAAAGGAGCTTACATACCAAAGCACACAGATGGCACTGGTTTTGCCAGGCTCTAGTAGTCTAGAAATCTTCGAGGTTTCTCCTAGTTGGTGCAGATATGATCAGCTTTGCCCTAAAAATACGAACAGCCCATCAATACAAACATCCTGCCCTGCTGCTTTACCACCTCTGCATTTTCTAGGCTTCAGTAACATTCCTCCAGAGAGTCCAGAGCTTGTATCCACTCTCCTCCTCAGTGTCACAGAGCTAGAGGAAGCCTATTTGCTGCGTGGATATGGCCTCATGTTTCTTACTGCTGTGCAAATTTTCTGCTGTCCCTGAGCCCCTGTAAGCTCTCTGTAATTTTTAATAACCTCACAAGCTTCTGATGTTCTCCTTGAGGAACTTCACCTGCGTAATCACTCATTACTCTCTTAGCCTTGTTCTAAAAGGCTGAGGAATGTAGGCCCACCTCTTGTCCTGAGGTATCTGCAGTTAACTAAAAGCCACTGATGGGTCCTGTTCAGTTTTATTCACTGTCATGCTGTAATGCACAGGGTTTACCCCATGCTACCAAGCCATTGACTGATTCAGTACTGTTGCAACCTGGCTCAGGGCTCATAAGCTGTGTAGGTGCCTCCTTCAGATCTTCTACCATGGCAGTGGTAGATGAGAGGCTAAAGAAAAGGAAAATACATATATATGTATATGTAAATTAAGTGGGAAATAAAGTACCAAAGGCTGTCGATAGGAATGACAGGAAGTGGAGCGTGGTGCTCAAATCACTACTGAAGATCT